CTTCCAGTATGAGGAGGGGAGGAAAATATATGAATCAGGTAAGCACATGAATAGCAACTCCAGTTCCCCAGATTGAGAACTTGGATTAACCAGTCCATAGTCAAATGAAAAGGGGATATTCTGTTGCTTGCAATTGCTCAGGCCTTAGTCACTTCCTGATTGGATTACAGGTAGTCCTCAACTTAACAATTATTTAGTGACTATTCAAAGTTGCAACAGCACTAGAAAAAGTGACTTATGATTGTTTTTTTTCCACAATTATGACCATTACAGCATCCCCATGGTCATGTGATCAAAATTCAGATGCTTTACAATAGTTTTGATGATTGCATTTATGTCTTGGGATCACCTTTTGCAAACCTTCTGACGAGCAAGATCAACTGGAAAGCTAGATTCATTTAACAACGGAGTTATTAACAACTGCAGTGATTAACAATTGCAGGTAAGGTCATAAAATATGTAAGATAGCTTAACAGGATATGATGTCTCCAAATAGTTTTTGCTTTGCCCAATCACTCAGGTTACTCATATTCATTGATTTATATGACCCTGCTAGATCCTCCTAACTGGAATGTATCTGTTATTAAAATCATGAAGGAATCCTTGTGATTTTAGGGCTAAAGTCCTAAATGGATTTTCTATAGTGTGTGGAGGGGAATGGGTCAAACTTGATCTTACTGAGGGTCGCATCAGAGTTGTGTTTGACCTTGGGGGGGGATGTGTAGCTGGGGTGGGCATGGCCAACTCGTCACTCATGTCAGGAGTGCCTGTAGTGGCTACCAAGCTCCATTTTCAGCTGCCACAGCCTTCTGCAACCCTCTGCCAGTGAAAACGGAGCTCTCCCAAAAGCATGCGGCTCTCCCGAGCTCCGTTTTCACTGGCAGAAGCATTGCAGGCCAGTCCTTCACCATTTCCATAGCAGCCCTGCGGGTCAGATCTAAGTACCTCATGGGCCAGATCCAGCCCCGGGCCTTGAGTTTGACACCCCTGGTCAGTGGTGGAATTCAATTTTTTTTTATTACTGGTTCTGTGGGCATGGCTTGGTGGGCGTGGCAGAGGAAGGATACTATAAAATCTCCAGTCAGAGGTGGTATTTGCCGATTTTCAGAACTACTCAAAATTTCCACTACTGGTTCTCCAGAACTGGTCAGAACCTGCTGAATACCACCTTTGCCCCTGATCTATAGTAACCGGTTGCAGCTGTAGCAACTGAGCTTTGCTATTTGAGAGACTGGGGTTCTGCAATCATGAGCTCTCCCACAACTCTGAAGATTTGAACTAGCTGGGCCTCTTAGCATAAGGGTAAGAAACCTGTAGTATTCAAATCCCTGTTTTGTGGTGATTAGCATCCCCCTTCATTGCTCACTCCTACGATAACAGTTAAAGACCTCTTGAAAGTGAAGTTATCAAGGTTGAGAAAAAGATTTTATAAGCCAAGGGGTAAAAAGAAGAGGGATTTGTAGTGGAGATACCTCTGTTGCAAGGGAGATGTCCATTGGACGATGTAGATAGGCTTTTTCTAAGATATATGCTGTGAATGTGTTTGGGTAGAGAATAGCTTGCGAGTTATTGATGTGAAGTGGTGTTTTTCAACCCTGACATCTTAAAGTTGCCAAGGTTGAGAAACACTGCTTTAAAATATTAAGTCTGCTTTGGATAATTTCTCTGTGTTCTAGGTCAGCAAATGATTAGATTAGTATTTTCCTTCTCTGTCTGGGATGGACTACATTACCTGAACTGAGTGTTACAAGTTACAACCACAGAGCAGTTACTGATGTTTCCAAAACAAAACAAAAAATTGAAATATATTTTTTCTATTAATTGATGCATGCCACCTCCTAGATTATTGTCCCACTTTCTCCTTAAATAAGGGTCAACAGGAAAGGAAAGGAAGACACTATTCTTTTTTATGAAGTTATCCATCAAATGGTCAATATCAAAAGTTAGTTAAGTTTCACCGGCCTACCTTTTAAACTAATTTTAATTCAATATGTTGACTTCTTAAAAATCTGACTTCTTAAAAACAGTCCAGAAAAAGTAGAAGTTGCAGCATGAAATACAAATACAAGACTTTAGGCAGGATAAGATATTCCCCAAAGACTTCAAAATCTGGTTTGTTTAATTTTTTTCCCCCCAGCCATTTTAAAGCTTAAGGGCTGCATCAATGGCTGTTTGCTACCATCTGGTGGCATGTTGGTAAAATAGTTATTATAGTTATGCTGTATGCCCTCATCTAGAAATACTCAAACCTTCTAGGTACTGTGTTTGGTGTCCATTCAATAGGTCTGGGAATTACTTAAGGCCAGCTATCCATACAGTGAACATAGATATACCTGAAGCACAGACCACACGAAGGAGATCTTATCCAAGCAAAAAAAAAAAAGATAATTAAAATACATCTGCGCAAGTTTGGTCTAGTGACTAAGGCATCAGGCTGGAACCTAGAAGACTGAGTTCTAATCCTGCGTCAGGCATGAAGTCCACTGGGTGACCTTGGGCCAGTCACTTTCAGAGCTCTAGGAAGGAGGCAATGACAAACTACTTCTATAATCTTGCCATGAAAACTGCAGTGACTAGTCTGGACATCACCAAGGCTAAAACACTGATTGCAAGGCATTGCATGATTGCATTGAAAAAATAAAAAAAGCAAAATTATCTTTTAGTCTCTTATTCCTTAATACATTTAGACCAATAATCTGGGTACAGTAATTGCAGAACCAAGGAGGTTCTGATGATCAATTGGAACATGGTTGAAACTGTTTTAGGTATACAATTATGCTTTAGTGCTCTTAAACTTTGAATAAAAGTGGGCAACTTTTTGCCAGTCAAACATTATGTTACAAGGAGGATAAGATCTAATGCCATCCAAGTGATAACAGATGGAGTTTTAGAGAGCTGGAGGGTGGGGGGATACTCTTTAATTATGCATAGAAGAAACTAGGATGCTTCTACATTCTTTTAATGTAAAATTGGTAGGCTATTGAATGCCACTACTTAATATAATGAAAAATCCATGAAGGATATATTATTACTAACCTTTGGGAGCATGTTCCAAAACCTGGTGCTCTGGGATTACTTCCAGAAGTCAGTAGTTATAATAAATAGAAAAGTTGCCTGAGCTTTCTTGGAATTCTGGGAGTTGAAGTTCATATCCACCGAAAAACATCCTATTGGAGAATATTAATATAAAGCATAAGTTAAATAAGGAACCTGGGCAAAAAGGGACCTACGCTCCATTCTACAATGGGACTGTGTGTTTGGAAAATGCAGTAAAGGATGGGACTGGTTTTTCGAGAAAACAAAAAGTTTCCTTTTTTGCAAATAGTCCGTCCCCCGCTGCCACCCCTTTCTTGTTTTGCACAAAAAGAATCCTCCAGGCACTTAAGACAAAGGCTTTTTTATATTTTGCTTTAAGCACAGTTGTTAGTACCAGCTACAGTGTGACAGTCTCATGATTTCTCTAAAGGCCTTGTTTCGTACTTTAATTTATGAAGTAACTTTTGTTGATGGAAGTCACCCAAAATGTAAGATCTTTAGTAAGTAAGGTCTTAGTCCAGGAGATAGGAGAAATTAAATAAATATCTCCGTTATCTTAGCTTTAGGACTCAATAATCTTCTTTACTTCAAATACATTTTGTGCGAGGCTATGGTACTTCTTACGTTCTTCTGCCTGTTCACCATTTCAGGAACATTGGACTTTGTGATACTTCTTGTGGATCAAATTATGTATCCCATCAAATGCTTCGTGGTTCAATGAAATTGTTCTTTCTTTTTCTAACCCAATTACTAATTACTTAGCTGTTTCATTTATTACTCAGTAATAGGTATATTACTTCCTCTATCTGCTGGATCCATATTGTGCTAATATGTTCTAATAGAACAGAGATGTTTTTAAAAAAAGGATATGGGGCTTCTTTTTCACAGTTTATTTACTGAGCTGAATATTGGTCATCAAAGTAGATGATGAAATAATAGGATTTTACATTGCACTGCATTGTTCATTGAACTTTGTTCATTGAACAATTTGCTGGCTTAGCACATAAACATAAATTATGGTTTATGAGCTTCAGATTGTAATTTAATCAATAAAAAAGGTTTATAAACTTAGCATAACATAAAACATGCTAAGGCCAAAATAAATGAATGAACCTCGGCCATTATTTGTCAACTTTTCAATATTTTATTTCCTATAGAAATTTAAAGAGTGTTTAACTATATAAAAACAAATTAATGTCTCTTATTTTATTTATTTATTTATTATTTATTATTATTTTATTTATTTATTTTATTGGACATGCACATTTCATAATTCAAAAGTTTTTTTCCCCTTGATTTCTGTTTTATACAAATAATTTCAATTTCAATCTGGCAGATGATCACTGCTTTAGTCAATGTTCATCTGGAACATGGCATGGAAAAATTAGAGTTTTGTTTACAAATTAATAGACAATATTACTGCATATATCATGAAAGGCATGAGCCAGGTTTGTTATATCAAATCGTCCTGGTTAATTAATTTCATCTTAAATCAAATATACAATTTGCAGTTGCAATACAAGAATCCAAGTTAATGTGCCTAGTGCAGCATTCTGTAATTTAGTGACCACCAGATATGTTGGAGTTTCATACTGCAACTTTCAAAATGCCCCCCCAACATAGTCAAATAATAATCCCAACACTTCTACAGAATGCCAACTGGGGAAAAATGCTTAAGGTTTATCGACTGCTACAAATTTGAATATTTGTAGGCTGTTTGCAAAGTTGATTTTTTAGGTATCTGTTGGCTTGCAATTCATTTGGCTTAATGTCCCAAGTGGAGCTCTACAGTAGATGGGAGTTATGAAAGTTGAAGTCCAAACTATTTAGAGGACACTAAGTTGCAGACATTTGCAACAAAGAACTGAACTCAGAGAGCAGCAAAGACCTCACAGGTCAAACCTGAGTCACAATATTAGTATTCTATTAGTAACACTAAGTTGTGTTTTTCTTTATTATTCTTGTTTATTAAAATACTATTTTTCGTGCTGTTAACCCTGTTGCTTTCTCTTCTGCATGATTCCTACTGTATACAAGATTGCTACAACTTGTGGTTCTTGTTGCATGACATTGTCTTTTTTTTCCCATGCTTTCCTGCCAAGTTTCATGTTGCAATTTCTCTATATGCTAGCTTAGTTTCCTGTTCACCTTTTCATGTACACGCACCTTACAGCATTGTTCCAAATACAAATAATCATACTCATAAATTCACTACTTACACACTAAACTGGCTATGTAATCATGGTCCTCTGTTATCTTTAAACAAATTGGCCACTTATGATTTTTGAACTGTCCTCATTTCAATTTTTGTCTCTGTTTGATTTTCTATCTTGCTAATTCACTAGGATCCTCAAGTTTGGTGTAAAAAATACAATAACATTTGGGCTGCACCTACGTTTTGCACATGAAGTATTCATTTGGGATGTAATATTCCCTTTTCCTTAAGAATGTTAATAAAGAATGATAAGCTCAGTACTCTTCAATATCTTCATAAACTATTAAATGATAGCTTAGGGAAACTCATTTGCAGATGACATCAAGCTGGCAGGAATAGCCAATACTCCAGATCAGTGGTACCTAATCTTTCTGGCACCAGGGACCAGTTTCATGGACATCAATTTTTTTCACAGACTTTTTTTTTGGGGGGGGGAGGAAGGTTTTGCATGCAACCTAGATCCCACGCAGGCAAGATGAAGCTTCATTTGCTTGCCTGTTGCTTGCATTGTCTGTTATGCGGCCCAGGGTTCTGGGATCCCTGCTCCAGATGATAGGCTCAAGATACAGAAGGATCTTGACAGATTTGAATACTGGGCCCTATTTAATAAAATGAAATTCAATGGTGAGAAAAGTAAGGTTATACATTTAGACAAGATAAAACAAATGAATAGGTATAGCTTGAGCATAGGGGTTGGACTAGAAGACCTCCAAAGTCCCTTCCAACTCCATTATTCTGTTATTAAGTTTCTTACTTGTCTTTTGTCAGTCTGAAGATTTATAATCTCTTCTGGTTTATAGCTTTGAGAATAGATTTTTATTTTGAATGAAACCTTAAATTTACCTATAGTATGAATGAGGTGAGAGCATGCATATTATTCCTTTTGTGCACTTCACTGTTCATTTTATGCAATTCTTTGGATTTCATCTATTGCTTTTTTTAAAAGAAAATACAGATTTACACAAGCCCACAATCTGTCACCTTACTAAATTTCTTAACTAGGTTTAGATCGTAAGAACGTGTATGTCAGAATTTAGCAATCCTATTGTGCTACAGGGCAGATACTGGCTTTTGTAGATCATTATGTAAGATGCAATTTAGCATTAATCATTAGAATAGGAAAATATTACTACATTAGGATGGTATTATCACACCTTTTTTTAGTATGAATTGGATCTTTTCAAATGACTGCTTATATTTTAATACCGTTCATTTTTATATGGTGTAGCACTTAGGGTTTTCTGTATGTCCTTCTTTGGATGAAAAAATATCAGTTTTTTAGGAAAAATATAAATACCAACTTGTTACTAATATCATAATTTCTGATCTACAGGGCATGCTTTTAAGGCAATGGGGTGTGCAGATCAGCCAATTAATTAATCACTCATTGATTTAGCATACTAATGATTCTCAATATTTTTCTTGCATGAAGAAAAAATAGTATTTATCCAGATCCTCATAGAAAATCTGTTTGCTTTTGTTGGGAATATAATAGTAACACTTAAAAAGACTGAATAAAGATTATCTGTTAAATTATCAGCAGGATCATGGATGATGGCAAGCTGCTTGTTGCATCTGATAGTCCTTAAAAACACAGGAAGTAATGTTTCAGACTGTAATTTCATATTCAAAATTAATGAAGACCTTTTGAGTAATTCATGCGAGATCAAGCAAAGAAGGAAATGAGACAGGAAGAGAAGAAAGGTGGCAACATTTGAAACTACATGTAAATTGTTTGTTGAGACAAATTACAGAGGTCTTTGCATTAATCTGTGACAATTGCTGCACATTCTAGATCACCCTTACCTTCTCTCTTGGTAAAAAAAAAACCCAAAATTAATCAATTTGTCGACCTGAACTGAATGGGGACGTGTAGCAATCAAACTGAATGTAAAGTACTCCAAACAGCTTTATATAAAACTGGTATATACTGTGTTGATGTAAACTAGATTTTTTTAAGTTTCTGTTTCAATTATTTTTTTATATTACTATTCATTTTTTGTTATTTCCATAACCATTCCTTATTCCCAAAGTGCATGATACTCATTACGTGTACGTAATGAGTTGGTCCAAGGTGAGTTGAATATAACTCCTGGTGAATTCATAGACATGCCCACATACAAAAGTGGTTTATCACTGCCTTCTTCAGGGGTTCCACCCAACCACCCTGATTATTTGCATAGTTAAAGCAAATGTTTCTCAACCTCAGCAATTTTAAACTGCATGGATTTCAATACTCGGAATGCTAGCTGGAGAATGGGATAGGATCTCCTCCTTTTGAGCTGGAGGTTGGACTAGGATCCAAGGTCCCTTCCAACTCCATCATTCTGTTATTCTTATCCTGAATTATGGAAGTGGAAGTCCACAAACTTAAAGTTGCTGAGGTTGAGAAACACTCATTTAGAGCTTCCTGGAGGTGTCCCATCCACTACTTATCAGTACTACCCTGATTAATTTCTGCATGCACCATAGCTACCTCTTAATACAGGCCTTACAACCACAACTGAGCCCAAAATTTTTGTTGTTAAGTGACACACTTGTTAAGAGATTTTACCACCTTCCTTGCCACAGTTGTTAAGTGAATCACTGCAGTTAAGTGTTAAGTGAATCTGGCTTCCCTATTGATTTTGTCAGAGTCACAAAAGGTGATCACACGATCCCAGTACACTGCAACAGTCATAAATATCAGTCGATTGCCAAGGTCTGAATTCTGATCACATGACCCTGGGGATGCTGCAATGGTGTTAAATGTGAAGAATGGTCATAAGTCGCCTTTTCAGTGCTGTTGTAGCTTCGAGTTACACGAACTGTTGTAAGTCGAGGATTACCTGTAATCTTGTCATATGTTACATGATTCTCTAAAAATCTGCAGAAACAGCCGAGGAGCATTGGGCTGGACTAGAAGACCTCCAAGGTCCCTTCCAGGTCTAGTCTGATTCTGATTCCTATCGTGGACAGCTTTAAATCTCTCCTCCGCCAATGAGAAGAAAATGTTTGATAGGAAGGCGAAAGGATCCCGTCCTACCATTCGACCCGACGGCACAACAGTGAATGAAAGGCGGCTGCCCTTAAAAAAGTGGGGGACAGAAACAAAACTTGTCGGCTTCGCCTCCTAGCAACAGGAGTTAAAGCCTTCTCGTGAAGCCTTAAATTGCACGGAAAACCTGAAAGAAGAAAAGCTTTGCAGGAAATCAACCAATGAGCAAAGCGCTCTTCGAAGTGGGGTGATATTGACCGGCCGGATCATTTAAAGGGAGGAGGCTGGCAATAGGAATAGCCAATGGCCGCTGGTTGGTGGAATGAAGCGTCCACTGTGTCCAGATTGGCAGTTCAGCGAGCCGCTTAAAAAACAGAGGTGGGAGAGCTGCGCGAATGGGGGAAAAAAAAAGCTTCAGGAGAGGTTGGGCGACGGTTGAAAGTCGAGCAGATTGACGTGCGTGGCAGCCAATGGCTTTCGCGTACCTGTTTTGGCTCAGCCCAATGAGGCGTTCGTGGCTCTGGCGGCAGGTGAGCCAGTTCCCCGAAGGCGGACTGGAGTTTGGTGGTTGGGACCGCGGGTAGAGATGTTGCCGTCCTTGGTGCGCGCAGGGGTGTTTCTGCTGCTGCTCCTCCTGGCGGCTCCGCTGCACGGCCGAGAGATCCGGTTCGGGGCGAAGGCTCTGCGGGTCAGGCGGGGGTTACGCCGCGGAGCTGAGCCGGAGACTGGATGCGGCCCGCAAGACGAAGGGTTCGGCAAGGAGGTGCTTGGCAACAACACTCACAAGGTGAGGGCAGGAAGTGACCTTCCTGGCCGGGCTTGGGCCACGGAGGGGTACCGCTAGCGCCGCTGCCTCCGCCAAGGCTCCTGATGCAGAGCGGTGGGGCTCTGACTTTGGAAAACCGAACTTCCCGCTGGAGCAGGCAGCGTCCGGCGCAATCTCTCTGCAACACGCGAGGGTCGCTTTGGTGCCTTTGAAGTGTGTCCTCTGAACATGGGCAGAGAGCTTTATTTATTTTTTTTTTTTTTTATTTTTTTGAGAACCAACACAACAGCTGGACAAGCTTTCTTGCTTTTCGCCCTGTTTGTCTTGGACTGGGGGAACAGATCAAGTAGCCATGACGCCTGAGCAGATCGTTTGTTTGTTTCTTTTTTTGTCATTAGACAACACGGCACCTAGTGTGTGTTTGGGTGATGCATAGGTGGTAAGACAACCACACCTTTAGATGACGAGGACCCGGAAGGTTAGTTAGAGGGAGTAATAAAGTGCTTATCTCCTTTCCCCTCCTCCTCCTGCGCTAAAGGCTAGGCTGATCTTCACAGTTGTATTGGAGAAATAGGGTTGAGAAAGACGCACCGTTTCCCTTGGTAGAATAGCAGCGCCCCCCCCCCCCAACCCACGACCCATTTGGAGCTTTTGAAAAATAAGGAACGATTTAGTCGGTTATGCAAACATGGATGACATTCATAAAATGCAAAGGTTGCCTTTTAGAGGGTACTAAATTCTTAGCTACTCTGCTTTGGGTGTTAAAAGTAATGCTAGCTGAGTTGAGATTAGCATTTGATGGGGCATGCTACAATAAGCAGGGCCAGAAATTACTAGCTTGATTAAAATAAAAAGTCAGTTTCTATGGAGGGAAGAGTCATCAGTTATGTGATTAGGTTATTGTATTCAGGTCCTTAATCCTAGCATACACCACTGATGCTATCTGGAAATGTGAAGGTTTAATGCATTTGGTGAGCACCCCCTCTTAAGGAAGAAAAAAAAAGTTTATCAAGATAATATGACAGTTGGACATGGGAATGGCCGTTGACAGAAAGTTAACTGTTGGAAGCCATTCAGGAACAGGATAACCAAATAGGCTTTGGTTATCCTGTTCCTGAATGCAAAAGGTATAAGATTATTCTATTTTTTAATGCATGTCAAGCAGCTCTGCTAGGCATTTGAAATGGAATGAAATAGTCATGTATCAAATACTGAACACTCAAATGTCCCAACATTGGTCTCAAGGGAAATCCGAAAACCTCAAGGGAAGTTTTCTAGTTATGTTTAAGTTGATAACTCACTCAGACCTTTTCCTCATTTTTTTTGCCCTATCCTGTTAAATATCTTCAGTTTTCATTATTTTTATTTAGTATCATTTTGTTACATGTTTCCTCTTTTTAAAAACAATTTTCTAGATGCATTCTCATTTTTTAAAAACTTACAGTAAATATTTGCTTCCTATTTTTTTCTACTTTTGTTTGGTAGGTCTATTTTTCTTCCTTTCAGACAGATTGCTAATTCAATTCATCATTTATTCCCAGTATTTTGTGACTTCGATACTTCTGATATGTATAATGTGGTCTAACTTGATTACTTTCTTGGTGTATTTTAATGTCAGATAACTTGAATCCATGCATTCACATGTCTGCGTTGCTTCTCCATTCCTGTTTCCTTGTTTGTGTTTGCTTAGGTTAAAACAGAAAATCCCAAAATACGCCTACATTTTATTTCTGATTTATGGAAGGCACTTAGTGATAATAACCTTATATTATTTTCAAGTGTACATAATGTCCAAAAATAGTTATAAAAAAAAGAAAGAAAACCGGTTTGCATGCTAAACTTTTTCTCCACCTGTCAGTATTCTGCAAAAGCTCTTTCCTGTGGTAGTAGTTTTAATTTCTGTTGTGTTATTTTTGGAATTACATGGTCGCTTGCTTTTAAAATAGAATTCTAAAATGGAAAGAATAGTGAAAATCCTCTGAATTGAGAGTTTCATAAATATATATCTACCTATCTTGAACGAATTACTGTTCCCATTCCTGATTACTGTTACATTTATTCTTTGCTGTCCATATGGTTGATGCTGGTTTTCATTATTACTGTTATATATGAAAAAAATAGAGCAGTTGTTGTTCTGCCAGCGATTACTACAAGTTCTCAGCTGGTATTTTGTTAAATTCAAGTCTTTATCAGTTTTGTGAACATGTAAGACTGAAAGCTCTGTTAAACGCAGATTGGCTCAGTTGAATCTGGTTCTAAAGGGTAATGTTCTTCTGACATATTGTATAGTGTTCTTTCTCAGCAGAGGTTGTGCTGCTTTTGTATTTTGTGAATTATTACCATTAAATATATGATACAAAGTATTGATATTGATTTATTGACTATAATTTGTCTCAATGTGCTTTATCATAACTGCTTTAGAGCCAATATAGTACTTCACCGGATTTTGAAAGGGATGTACATAAACACTTTTATAGGGAAAATAATTATTATAAGAAGCAGAAATGTGTTTTTTTCTGAAAATTTTCTTATGCAAATGAGTATGATTCTAATCAACATATTCATCGCAGTATCTATAGTTAATGGCATTATACATATTGTATAGTGTTCTTTCTCAGCAGAGATTGTGCTGCTTTTGTATTTTGTGTATTGTACTTTGGAGTTTTTTTCTGGTAAATCAGAATATTGCATGTGTGTGTCAGTCTAAAAATCCTAATAGATAACTGGATCATCTGAGCCCCTCTTAGTGAACCAGAGTGGATGGGATTTCCCACACATTGTACATGTCTGTTTCATTATTTTCTGTTCCCATTCTCTAACTGACTTAGTTCTGAATATATCTTTACGTTGAACTGTCATTTTCTCCATGATCTGCAGCTGTGTTTAATATGTATGATGATCACATCAAATGGAAAGTTTATCATAGTTTGCTATGGGAAACCTTTATATTTTCTTCTTGTTGAAGTTTGTCCATTTTCATTAAGCTAGTTTACAGCATGTATTTCTAGCTTAGTTTCTCCATTGAAATACTAAGAGGAAAAGTTGAGATCTTAAGCTCAAACTCTCTTTAGTTAGGATAAGTATCAACTGTGTTAGGTAACAGTGAGTATGCATTTGTATATGTACTTCTAATAACAGTATACATGGCTGAGTTAAACAATATATAGCAGCAGAAAGAATTCTAATGAATTAATGAAATATTCTGAAAATATTAAGAAAATGCTATATTTAGTAAACCTAAAATCTTATCTGTCTTAATCTTCTGCAATGTTTAAATTTAAAAATTTTAAATTAAATTTTGTGGTTTATGTACTGCAAAACTTTCAATTTTCGAATACTTATTTATCCATCTGCAGCTAAATACTTATCTGAAAAAAATATTTACAATTCAGAAAAATCATATAATTATGTCCATGGGATATAAAAAAAAAGTATTTTGGGATATGTGAAAAAAGAGTACCCAGTATCAGAGAATCTGTGTCCTTATGTCTAATTCGATGACATTTTGCTTTTTCACTTTTCCTCCACCTCTTGTCCATGAATTGTATTTTTTAAATTTGTGTTTTGTAACAAATCAATGTTGTTTATATATCTATTGAGAGTATTATACTGTATATCAATTTGTATCTTTGTGTATTCGTTTTCCAGAATCATTAAGGGAAGGTTGCCTCCCTACCCCCTTCCCCCAAGGTCTGGCTTTTTCTAGTTATTTTTTAGAGAGTACGAAGTAGGAAATCAGGTGAAATATTCATTCTACACTCTTGCTGGCCAAGGCGGAGATCTGGCATTAATAGAAAGGGAAAACCTGACCAACTGGTAAGACAATGGGCCTGCAATTAGAATGTTTTCTTTAGGCTATTTGTGGCATAGGTTTTACAGGATAGGAATTATGTTACAGTCAATTTACCAACTTGTTTGAAGTTTCTTTTCCCATCTTTCCTGGTTTAGGAGAGTTTAGGGGCTTTTTTCAAAATATCTTAACAATCCATTAAGATGTGTGTCTCTGGTACTATAGATATTTTTCCTAATATGTAGATAATTTAAAGCACAGTTTGGCTGATCTTAGAAAAGCTTAGCTGGATCAGACCTGGTCAATATTAAACAAGAGTCTATTAAGAAATCTTAGAGTTACAAGCCTAATCTGAGAAGTTAAAAAACATTTTGAAAGAAAACAGCTACAAACCACATCCATATTATTGCCAGGAAAGCTTTGTTGAGTAGTCACCAGTAGTAGAGATTGCTTTGAAGTAGTCTCTATCAGATCTGCCTGTATTAGATTGCAATTCCCATTGTCTCTTACCATTACCCATACTGATGGGAAATCTGAATTTAATATTTGGAGACCTGCATCTGCCCTCTTTCATTTATTCCTGTTTTTCTGATTGCCCTAAAATTTCATTGTTATTAAAGTATCCTCTATCAGTAGAGCTTTGGAAGTTGGAAATCATGTCTTGTTATGTGATGTATCTCAG